GATGAGAATGTTCGGCCAACCTTCAAAGAGCTAGCCAATGAATTCACCCGTATGGCTAGGGACCCACCACGGTACCTTGTCATGAAAGTAAGAGCAAGTGAAAAAGAAGTACCAGGGTTCATTTTGCTTTCAAATTGCAATAGTCAAAACAAGACTGCAGCAACCATTGATAACATAACTCATGTAATTTAGTTTGAAGTCAAAGAATTTTTAAACATACAGTCACATGCAAAGGTGTCCCTAGTCAAATTACATGTTTTGTTGATTTTCTAGTAAAAATAAGTTTTAACACATCATAGAAAACACACCTCTGGACATTTTGATGCACAGTTATGTGTATTTGCTGAATTTAACATTTTGGGGGAAAAAACAATCATAAAATGTGGCAAGCAACAGTTATGGTACATTATATTTTGGATGTTTTCTTTTTTCTAATCTGTTAAATTCACCAAATAAATAGAAATTGTGGCATAACATAATTTTGCAGAAAAAAACGCCATATTTAAGTTTGTTACCTGGAGAGGACATCTTAACTTATTTTCACTTAGAAAATCAACAAAACATGTAATTTGGCAGGGTGTGTTTAAACTTTTGCATACGACTTACATAAAGAGTGTTAACAGGATAATGGTAACCATTTCAGTTTGTCAGTATGTCTGATATCAAAAACATTTTTTAATACATAAAATCTAACTATTCGATTCACAGATCATATTGTTTCGCTACCCACATATATAAAAAAATACATTAATTTGCCTAACAACCCTAGTGGACATCTATGAAAATGAAGGATCGCAGTCTATAAATCTTGCGTAATTGTTATAAATATCATCAGCAGGGGGAGTGCACTGCTCCTGAGCCTGCCTCTGATGAGGCACACCAGCGGGGGACTGAGATGGACATTCTGGCTGTGGGGCTGGAGGACCAAGAAGAAGAGGTATTGGACGAAGGCATGGCAACACCCCCTGTGTACCTCACTCCATCAAGAAGTCTCTCTAGATTGCGTGTGGATACCCACAGGGTAAGAGCGCATTGGCTAAATATGGAAAACCGCAGTGAAATGGCTTGCAAAGTGGATGGGGGAGCAGATACGGGTTAAGAGCAAAGATTAAATGAGTTTGTGAATTAGTGTGAGCCACTGGTGTCTCATCAACTCATTACTTCCCCCTCTCTTTTTCCTCATTTCCATGTTTTCATTTCCCACAGGCAACTTTCACCCCATCCTGTCCTGCTGGTTACTTGCTAATGACTCCAAGTGTGGAGGGTTCCATGCAGGTACGTCTTAAACTAGGCTGGTGCTTTATCACTACACAAAAGTGTACTTTTTACACTGTTGTTACATTGATATGTGCCACTTGCACTGAGTATGATGTTCCTCATGTCTCGCTGTAGACAGTGTGGCCACCTCGCTCACGTCTCAACTCAGCTCGCACTGTCTCTGAGAGCTCAGAGGGACGTGGCACTGTGATGGAAATGGAGATGAATGAAGACTTCGCGTCAGTTGGCAGCCTGAGGCGGGTGCGGCACCGGGAGGACAGTGCCTACATGTCTCAGAGAGACAGCCTGTCAGGTCCTCCAGACACACCTATCCCTGACACGCCTTCTCCATGTACAGAAGGAGAGGAAGACCAAAATGGATATGTGTTGCCAGGACTATGTGATAGCCCAGAGAGAGGTAAGTTAGTTGTGTTTTACCATTCACAGAGGAAATCTCAGAATAAAGGGATATAGTGCTGTTAAAGAATTTGCCCCTCACCTGATTCCTTCTATTTTTGATAATTTGTCACATTTAAATGTTTTAGATCATCCAACTAATATTAATGTCAATTGAAGACAACATGAGTAAACCCAGAATGCAGCTAAATGGATCACTCAATTTATTGAAGATACAGATTTATTCAAAACCTATATCACCCATGTGAAAAAATAATTGCCTCTCTAAACCTAATAACTGGTTGTGACATCCTTGGCAGTAACAACTTTTGAGTCTTTTCACTTTGTTTCCAAAGTTTGCTTGTTTACTTTGGACAAAAGTATGTGCAAAACTGGAGGTTTCAGATAACTGCTAACACTAGTTTGCAACATAATTTTGGACATTTTTTGAGAGGATAGTATGTCGTACAGTGTTAAAAATCACATAAGTAAGTTTGTTCCATATCACTGAACAACTTAGCGAACTTTAGTCCAAACTAATCCTGGCTACATTTGGGATAAGGGGAAAATTGTGCACAATTGATCTTTTGCATAATTATTTCTCAAACTGAGGCATCTTTGTACTCTCAGATAATCATTGATCGACATCTTCCTTCCTTCTCCCTTCAGAAACGGTGCTTTCCATGGCTTCCCATGTGCGGCTGTCCCAAGGGAGATTGTCTAAAGGTCGTTCACATGAACTGTTAGAGGAGCAGGACAGTGCTGAGGAAGAGTACGAGTACATGAACAATCAAAGCCTCCCCCTAAGACACATCCCAGGCCAGAAACAAAGCTGCTGTCAGAGAACATCAAAACGCAGTTCCACCTCCAATCCCTCATGGGGAGACAGCATGCACAAGTCTGCATGTGCCAGTCACCCAAATAAAAGATCATCTATGGAGGACTCTGAAAGCAGTGGAGAGGTTTCTCAGTCCTCCTCGGATGAGAGAAGTCGCAGCGATGCGGAGCTGCTGTCCAGCGAAGCGGAGTACGCAGAGGCTGACCTGGACCAGGAGCGCCAGTATGAGTATATGGACATTCGTAGTGGTCTGGGACATGCAGCAGCCAGCATTCCACACAGAGCTGACCACCTGAGACCAGATGCCTACATTTCTCCCAAGAAATCCCTGGAGGAAGATGAAGAGGAAGAGTATCAATACACGAACCGACAGCCCCGGTTGAGGCACTCGCTGATGCTTCAGGGTTTGATCGGTGGGGAGGGAGAGGTTTATGAATATGAGGAGATGGACTCTCTGGCAGTAGGGGGCAGCTCAGGGGCTGAGTATCAGAACCTCCAGGAGGCTGGGGAAAGGGAGGCTGGGGGGCAACTCCACTCTGGAATTGCGCCATATGTTCAAGTACGTACAGGTTTGGTTGTGGCCAAGGAAGGCGGAGACAGGTGCTTCGATAATCCTGACTACTGGCACAGCCGAATGTACTCAAAAGCAAATGCAGTGAGTACATAGAACAGGACAGAGGGAGGGAGGGAGGGAAGGTGTGAGTGAGGGAGCAAGCAAGGGAGGGAGGGAGGGGGAGGGAGTGTGAATTAGATAAATTAAATGAAATACATATATGGGAGAGAAGTAAGGGTGAAATTAAGTATCAAAGAGGAGTGGAACAAAATACAGAAAAAAAAAGAAAACTGTCAGCAATGACTAAGCAGAAGTAGCAATCAGCACTAAAGCACTACACATTTCCTTGACTAATTCAGTCTTGGCAGTAAAGACATAAGCTGTGTCCAAAACCGCATTCTACCATACTAAATAGTATGTCAAAATAGTACACCACTGATTAAAGTCCATTCATTAGTGTAGTATGTCTTGTATCGTAGTATGAGGTTTTGGACACATGCATGCAAATGCATTCATGCAAATGTGATTCCTAAATCACAAAGACACAAGCACTCAGAAACAATTTACATTTTAATTTATCCTATATTTCTTGAAACACAGTGAAGGAAAGTAGTACCAGATAATGAGCTATTACAGATAATGTACTGATGATTGCATGCAAACATGTATGAATGTCAGTAAATATTTCACATGCTTAAAGACACAAATCAGTTTCTATTTTTGAGGAAAACAGTTTGTATCTGAATATGTTTATGAATCAGTATGTCTGTTACAGGTGTTAATTCAGCCTTCCACATGACAGCATGGCAGCTTGCATTCCATCATTGTGTACCAAATTTCCAATGAGTCAGGGATATTTGTTTTTAACACTATTTTATATTTCTAGAACTGATATTCTAGTCATACAGAGTTTAGCTGTGCAGTAGCAATAGCAATGTCACAAGCTGTTTTTAGTAGTCTTGTGTAATTTGAGTTGTGCCGAACACAGATGGATTTTTTTGTTTGCTTTTGTTGGTTTATAGTTGTGTGTGTGCGAGCGTGTGTGTGTGTGTGTGTTTTTGGGAGGGGGTGGAATTTCTTTCTCTTTCTCTCATATTTCAAATGAAATGGCCAGTTAACAAACTTTATGCTTTTGTACAGCTTATCAGAACAAGTTGTTTATTTTCTCATTTTCGTAATTTTACCTTTCATTGCCTACATGTCTACATGCGGTGATATATTTTTATACAGTGTATTTGAAATCTGTTTTCTTCTCACACAAATAAAAGTTTTGTGCTAAGTGTTGTAAGTTGTTTCTGAGATGCCTCGTAGATGGCCCATCTTTTAATGTGTTGGTGAACTTTGTATTATACATTGTACATTAATTGTCATTGTATTATTAGATCACAATTATTCAAAAAAAAAAATTCTAAAACAATGTATTCAAAATTCAGGGAACAAACATTAGTTGAATGTAGAGGAAACATAACAAGTAAGTTATAGTGTTAAAGAGAATTCACTGTCACCATAGTAACAGATATTGAAATAATTTGAATATCAACACTTCAAAATGTATTTTTTTTGTAAAAACAGAGTTGCCACGTTAAAATTTGATTAATTCTAGTGAAATCAGTTGAGAAAAGCTGTAAGTTCTTAGTAGTAATTAAGTAAAATCTTACATTCTAAAACATAATTCCTACCAGTAAAATTTCAGAATTCGAATTTGTGTTAAATTTTATATTTTTATATTTTTACTATTTCTAGTTTACTGGTTAGTAATGCTAGTTTCCTATTACAGAGAACTTAACTGGTACTTTTTTTTGTTCAAATTGAATTTCTAAATTTCAAAAAATTATGATTAAAGCTAAAGCTTCTCGTCATGGGGGACTTTTTTAAATTTATTTTTATTTCTTTATTTACTTTTTTGTTGCCATGCTGGCCTGTATTTTGGCGCTGGCTGTGTTGTGACGTGCTGTGTGACGTGTGCGCGGCTTGGCGCGGCGCGGGCGCTGCTGTGGCTGATCTGCTGCTCTGATCATCTCGGATTGGGACTCGCTGCGAACCCCGCTGCAAACATGTCCGACGACGAACAGCAGGAGCAGACCATCGCCGAGGACTTGGTGGTGACCAAGTATAAGATGGGCGGCGACATTGCCAACCGTAAGTTTGTCAGATTTGGGCGATAATGAGTTTAGTCGGTGACCTGATGGTGAGGCAGCTCCGGTAACGGCCTTCTTCTCTCACGCTGGTCCCGCTAACAGTTCGCCATGTGCTGACAGTCGCACGCAGCTCTGCAACGTGGGAAAGTAAAGAGGGCGACCCGGCGGTCCGTGTGCTGGAATGCTACCAACTAGATACTCTTTGTGTGCCCTGACTGCTCTGATTTACTGATATTGTCCCACAGAGAGCGCATCTCACTGATCTGCGGTGAAGTCCATGTCGGTAGCTAACACAACGTTAGCTAATGTAGCTAGCCAGCCCGTGTAACTCCCCGTGTGTGTGTGTTCCCATGTAGCCCTGCTAGCTAGCTAGCTTAGCTAACCCTGGCAAGATTACACGATACTTATGAGTGCGCGGACTGTAGAGGCTTGTAGTACTAGCAGTGTTAACTAGTTTAGTTCTTTTCTTTAATGGATTTGAGCTGTCTGTCTTAATGATTAAGTGAGGCTCTATTCTCAGAGCTCGATATTCAGCTGAGAGGGTCTGGCTGCTGTGGGTCGCTGGCTCACGTTACGGCTGTCACTGCCCACGCATCCAGACACGGGCAGTTGGCTAACCTGCTACGCTGCTAACGGGAGCTAACATTACACTAACTGCGATCACTCCAAACACCACAGTACCGCAGGCTGTAATAACTTCATTCTGTGCAAAAAGAGGCGCTCTGCCCTCAGAGGGTCCACCGCTGAAAGGCTGCTAAGTTCAGTCTGTGAGTAGCAGAATGCTGACGGAGCGTTTAACGTTATCTGTGGTGACCAGCTGCCTCACTAGTATCATTGACCCGGGCTTTGTGTGAGGAACACTGAGCCTTTTTACCTTTGTTGCTTGCTGTGCTTTTCCCTGACCTGTAGAGCAACAACACACTTCTCTCCATCGTCTCCATTATCAGTGCACAACCTGCTGGTACTGACACTGCAACAGGTGTCTGTCCTCTCTTAAAACGTTCCCACCACAAAACCCAGGTGGATAGAGTAGCCAGCACCCTTGCTAACTAACAACGTAAAGTATTGTCAATTCAATAAAAAAATTACACTATAAAAGTGCCTCTCCAAAAAAAAGACTGAGTAAAAAAATACTGGAGTAAAAAGTACTAAAGTACCAAGTCCAAGAAGTTTGTAAGTACTGAACAAGAGATAGAAGTGTGGCAGAATGCCACGGCAGGGGAGTTCACTAGGGCTGTGTCCGAAACTGAAGGCAGCTGTCTCGATGCCTTGCTGCCTGTACTCTCTTATAAGTCAGTGCTCTAGAAGACAGCGCTGTCCACTGTGTCAAAGCTGGTGTTTATTGCTTTTTTTTCTCGCTGCATTGACGTGGACGCAAAGGATTATGGGATGTGTACGGCAGAAATGGATACATCTACACTGCCTTCAAAAAATGTCCCAAAGGAGGAGCTCAGACTGGGGCGTGACTGGGTGCCTTGCTGCCTAAGAACTCTGTCGAAATAGGCAGAATTTATGTTTCAGACACAGTCTGTGGCAAAGTGTATCCTCATCGTGATAAGTTACATCACTGAGCATCATAATGTGATTTTCTAGGCATATTGTGGATATCGTCAGTGCTTGGAGAAATGCTGAAAAACAGTTTGATGTTTAAGTTTAATGTTTAATTACAAAGACCTGGATTTAGTGCAGTGGAGTATGTGAAATGGTGTATTAAAGGGCCCATATTTTAAAAAGCTGAATTTTTCTTTATTTTCTTGAAATAAAGGTATTTGATGTAGTATGTAAAGAGTGTTAAAGTGAAAATGTAGCGTTTACTCCACAGTCCAGACAGTCCATACATGGAAACTATGCTGAAAAATTCAGTTTCTATGTCATGAAAACCAAGGCGTTTGCATATATTCGCCTATTCAGGCTGCAGCCGTTTAGCTCCATCCATTCATGCTGAAGTTATAAGGAGTGTTTCAGTTTGGACTGTTTAGAATGAGGCATGATTAGGGGTGGGTGATATGGCAACAGTACAGTATCATGATACTTACATTTTCACAATGCACGGTGTGCATCACAATATTTAGTTTTTCTGAGGTTTGATGAGTTGGAATGGACAAAAAGAACCAGTACTGCCACATTTAGAAAATACAGTCAAAAACATAAAAGTACAAATGATTTTTATTATAACTTTTCAAATACTGTGATACACTAAGTCAAAATTAAAATGGATAATTATGCACTCTTATTAATGAAACATGCAGTTGGCCAGTGTTGGCAAGTACTAGAAGTACTGACGTTGACATTGATCCACAGTTTGATCAGAAAAACGTGATTTATCACAATAAAGGTAAATATCATCATATTGTTAAGCCCAAGGCACAATACAGGGCAGCCACTCAGAACGGATCTTCTATACATAGATCAGTCTTAAAGACACAGTAACATAAACAGCCTGTTTAATTCTAAGGGATAAAGAGAGGTTGAAAAATGGTCATGTAAAAATTAATTAGGGCTGTTTTTGATTTGTAAATCCACACATTATAGGTGAACCTCAGGAGAAAAAATATAGTGCAACATTTTTGATGTTATTTAATTGTGGCTCTGAGGACTTTTTTGTCTGTTCAAATTTATCAGATATATCGGAAGAAAAAAAAAAACTAATTATTTTGAGGCATATTATGTATCGTGAAATATTTTGATGTGTTTTTGCCCCGACTTTTACGTCCAGCATCTTTCAGTATAGGAACTGAAGTTTGTTAGGTGCTGTTCTCTTATAAAATAAAGAATGACTAAAATAAAATGACTAAATTCATTTGCAGTGCAATACAAGATGATGTCACCAACAGAACAGAATCAAATTAAATGGAAAAAAGCAATTATTAGCTAAATATTAATAAGTAAAACGTAGAGTCCTGTTCTTACCAATATGCTTTTTTGGATTTACTCAGTGCCCCCAAAATAGTGCAAAATTTACTGATTGCTCTCAGCCTAGGCAATACAGACACCTGTCTGTGGTACATTTCATCTCCTTAAGGGAATATAGCGTTTGCAAACAAGTTAGAGCCTTTTGATACCTGATGTAATGTCCTTTCCTCCATGTTTGTATGTATTCTGCTTATTCACTCATCATTTTCTGTCAAACACTAATCCCTAATCTTTTCTGCACCTGTCGCTCTCTCAGAGGCACTGAAGTTGGTCATCGAGGCGGCCAAGCCAGGTGTGTCTGTCCTCAGCCTGTGTGAGAAAGGCGATGCTTACATTATGACAGAGACTGGCAAGGTTTTCAAGAAGGAGAAGGACATGAAGAAAGGTAAGCTGGAGGAACAGATGACCTTGATGAATTCTAGGTTAAGAGTATGAAAAATGTTAATGTGAGACTTCATGTTTTTCTTTGATACACGTGGCTGTTGTCGTGTATCTTATGATTTGTGTGATAACCGGCATGGATGGAGTGATAGACTGAGATGTTTTGCTAGTATTTTCAGAAAGCATTTTCTTTAGCTCTGTTCAGTTAGCTGCTTATGGCTGTGAAGAAATTACGTGGCATATAGAATACACATTCTGTAGCATAGCAGTGAGGTCCAAAAATCTAAAATCTGGGGACTGGGGGGGGAGAAATAGAAAGGTTTAGAAATTTTAGTTTTTCTTAAAACAAAGAAAAGTTATGACAAGTAAAATGAAAAAGAAAGTTTCAAGATTCTGCACTAGTTGTTGGTCATCATTAAAATTAAAGCAAATTTGTGACCATATTAAGGCCTTTTTACAAAAAAAATGTTTATTTATTTATTTTTATTTAATTGAGTCTTATCCCTTCTATTGAAGCACATGTGCAGAGTAATAGAAAAACATTGCATTAAATTAGAAAAGAATCCAGAATAGAAGCTTTTTCATTAGTGGTCTCAGATGTTTGGATGCCACTGTATTTGCATCTCTCTCTGTTTCTCACTCTTACTCAGACACTCTTTACAGAAGCACTTGTGTTGAGGACTGGTGGTTGTCTCTCTTGCAGGCATTGCGTTCCCCACCTGCGTGTCAGTCAATAACTGTGTATGCCACTTCTCTCCTTTGAAGAGCGACCCTGACTACACACTTAAAGATGGAGACTTGGTCAAAATGTAGGCAACTCCCACCCTGTCCAGTTCCCAGCCTGTCTCCAGTCTTCTTTCCACCCTGCATTTTCCCTTATCTCCTTCCCCTCGCTCTCACTCTGTTGTGTCTTGTGTGCACTGTCCCCTCCACTGTTTGTCTCAGCTGTGTGTATATAAATAAGTTTATCCTTGCTAATTGTCCTGTCCTCCTTGTTTTTCCCCATCTGTGGTTTTACTGCAGCTTTTTATGTTGTCTGTATATCTTAAGTTTAAACCTTTGGTATGTGTTATCTGTAAGATTGGCTGTAAATAGTAAGAAATGTTTTAATTTGAGTGTGTGAGCTAATCATCCATGAACTGTTGAGTTTATTATAATAATTGGGAGTGTGGGGGTGGGGATAGCCATTTTTGCTTTTGTCTCTGCGCAAAATGAATAATAGAGCAATGTGTACTACATGGATTGGGGAACTTTAGTAGCTCACATTTTTCTTGTCTTTTATCTTCACTCTTATCTCCTTTTTTTCTGTACAGTGATCTTGGAGTGCATGTTGATGGCTTTATCGCCAACGTGGCCCACAGCTTTGTTATTGGGGCTAGTAAGGTGTGTATCTTCATGATGACGATGATAATGATGAAAATAATATGAATAACAATTATTATTATAATTATTATTAGTAGTAGTAGTAGTAGTAGCAGCAGCTACAGCTTTTACACTGTTTTCCAAAAGCCACTTTATGAATTAACGTATTACTCATGCAAGTTGAAATCTTCTCAGGAAGCACCTGTGACGGGCAGGAAAGCCGATGTCATCAAAGCCGCCTATTTGTCTGCAGAGGCAGCGCTGCGTCTTGTAAAACCTGGCAACCAAGTGAGTCCAAGCTGGCAACCATAAAGAGAATTTTTTCAACTCTGGGTCAAACACTGCTGTGTGTAGGTGATCCTGTATTTGCAAATAAAGATGGCAAGATGAAAAGTTGAAGATAATATGGGGTTAGAAGTGAGTCATGTCTGTATACAGAGGGTGGAGCTGTATTTAAATAGCTTCAAATTGTTTCTCTTTGCTCCAGAACACACAGGTGACAGAGGCATGGAACAAGATCGCTCAGTCGTTCAAATGCAATCCAATTGAGGGTGAGGTATTTGTTTGTTTGTTTGTTTGTTTGTTTGTCTTTATCAGATGGGTTGTACAATATAACAAAACCTCACACACCAAATATGCACCTGTATATGAGACACAGTACAGTCATATGCAGAAAGGTCACATTATATGTTTTATTGATTTTCTAAGTGGTAATACGTTATCACATCAAACAAATTTAAATATAGCATTTTTTCTGCATGTCTTAGTGCATAGTTTCTGTTTATTGTTTAATATATTGGAAAACATAACATGGCCTGTGCAAAAGTTTTTTGTTTTTATTTTGTAAATTTAGCAAATAAACATTAATTGTGCATTAAAAAGTGAAGGAATTATTTACACATTATTTTCACTTATTTTCACTTTTCAAATTAACAAGACGTGCTTTGACAAGGGATGCCCAAACTTTTACATATAACTGCTCTCGGAACAATTTTTGTCGTTTTTCATTTTTTGGCATAATTTGAAAATACCTGTTGTCCTTTACATTGTTTGTAAATTTCATGATGAATGGACCAAATTAAAAGGTTGAAAATTATTTGGGTGGGGTGGGTGTGGAGTCTAACCAAACATATTCAGACCCAGGTGCAGGTGTTACTGGATGCTTTCATGTAGGCATTTTAGAGGCACAAACCGTTATATCCATGGAGATTGCTTGAATTTTTAATGAGAATTTGAGGCTGCGAAATCCTAGTAGTGGATCAAGGACAGTTCTGTTGCCTTTTTTCTTGGGTTTTTTTTTTTCTCACTGGTGTCCTTCTGTAGGTATGCTGTCCCATCAGTTGAAGCAGCATGTCATTGATGGAGAGAAAACCATCATCCAAAACCCTACAGACCAGCAAAAGTAAGAATCCAGCTTTCATGGTTATATACTATATCCACAGGCAGAAAAAAAGCACATGGAGCATACAGACAAAGTCAGTAGGACTTCACAAGAACAGTACAACTTCCACATTCACTCCAAATAAAAACCGGTAGATAATAGATGGTTTCATATAGTCAAGGCGACTGAGCTTGTGGCATAATCTTGATGTTTCACCATTCGGGGGCCTTATCAGTTCATCAGAAGATGCCAGATGCACTTTTATATACAAAAGAAAGGTCTCTGTTCACAGGAAGGACCATGAGAAAGCAGAGTTTGAGGTTCATGAGGTGTATGCTGTGGATGTACTGATCAGTACGGGAGAAGGGAAGGTAATTAATAATACACTTATTCTACCTTTTTCCACATGTGAGACCATGTTCTAAAGCTTGAACTTATTCTTGAACTTCAAGTCTGAGAGGGTTTCTCCATTCATTTTTCATCTAGGCCTAACCTGTGTCCAGAAAACTGACCCAAAGACTACTAAGAACAGAGCTTTAATGTAGTGAATAGGAGAACCTACCTATAAAAACTGTTTCTCTTTGTGTCAGGCAAGAGATGGAGGCCAGAGGACTACCATCTACAAGCGGGACCCCAGTAAACAATATGGACTGAAGATGAAGACCTCCAGAATTTTCTTCAGCGAAGTTGAAAGACGCTTTGACGCGATGCCTTTCACTCTCAGGTAGTAAATACTAAAACCCTTTTGTGCCCCATCAGTTTGTGCTTTGACCGAAAGATGCTGTATTGCTTTCACTTTAAACTGGAGCATATCTCATGTAAGATCATGCAGGATAAAACAGTTTTGGGAATTAAAAGTATCTGTCTGTCTGTCTTTCAGGGCGTTTGAAGATGAAGGTAAGGCCCGCCTTGGAGTGGTTGAGTGTGCCAAACATGAGCTGCTGCAGCCCTTCAGCGTACTCAATGAAAAGGAGGGTGAGGATGTGTATTTCTCTGTTTTTCTTTCTTTGTTTACAATTTTTCTTTTCTTTGTGAAGACATTACCAGAATAATGAACCTGTCATCTGTTTTCTCATTTCTTTCTCTTTAGGAGAGTTTGTGGCTCAGTTTAAGTTCACAGTGCTGCTGATGGCCAATGGGCCTTTGAGAATCACCAGTGGGCCTTTTGAGCCAGAACTCTACAAATCTGAGCATGACGTTCAGGATCCTGAGCTGAAGGTATAGAAAATCCACAGCACGCACTGAAGCCTGTAAAATAGTAGATGAAATTAGTGCTAGATGATGTATCAAATATTTACAATGAACTCACTTTTTGGAGATACAAAATTAGGCCACATAGTCATTATTGCAGAGATCCTAATGCTCCTTATTTTTATATATATATTTTTAAAATTGATTATTTAAACTGTGTTTTAGTTCTTCTTGCAGGTAACATTTTGAATGTGCTTGGCAACAAATTTGGTTGCTTACAGTTCTCATTGCATTTAATAAAGGCAAATGTTTATGTTTAGTCCAGGGTATAGCTCCTATGAGTGAAAAGTCAGTCTTAAACCAGTTCAGAAAAAATGTGGAAATGCTGAGAAACATATCATTCTTTGCCAAAAGGCTGTTTAAAATCAAGCTATACAGTTTAGCCATTTTGCAAAGCCTTAGTTGAAATGTTTTGAGGCACACCTAGCATGGTAAAGCGACATTGTGATCTCATGATTTTAATGAAAGTCCTCTAAAGTGTTTTAAATAGTTGTATGCGGAAGTTTGGCCACCCCTGGTCCCACCATGTTTTGTTGAATTTCAAAGTGAAAATAAGTACACGACAGAGAACACAGAGTGTACATCTACAGAGAACACGCTTCTGCACATTTTAATGAACAATTACTGTACTGAATTTAACGTACTGGGGAGAAATACATAAAATGTGGACTGTGCAAAACTTATGGCATTATTTATATTTAATGTTTTAATATTCCATTGTGTTAAACTCAACTAAAACTTGCAGAATAATGCCTGATTCAAGTATGTTCTCCGGAGAGGATGTTTATACTTATATTCACTTAGAAAATGTACAAAACATGTAATTTGACTGGGGGTGTCAAATGTGAGGGGGACAGACATTTTACTGTAGTATCTTACGTCTGATGATACCTGACAAGGAAATTGTTATTTATTGGTGTATTTTACAATGGAAATGATTCGTTTTGCTACCTAACAGAACCCAGACTGGGCACAACATAAGCAAAATATTTGCTATCTGTTCCTTCTTCTTTGTTAATTGTACTTTCTGTTACAGTCTCTGATACAGAGCTCCGCAAGTCGTAAAGCACAGAAGAAGAAGAAAAAGAAGGTGAGGTATTTACTCCTTGGCCAACAGAAACAAATGTGTTATTTGTTATTTATAAGCCTGCATGCTTTCCAGTGTGAGTGTTTAATACAAACTCCTAATTCTTATCTTTTGTCTTTTATTCTAGGCTTCCAAGACTGCAGAAAATGCTACAGGGCAGCCAGTAGAGAATGAAGTTGCTGCAGAATAGATAACCTATACCCCTAAAAACAATACACTCACTCACATATACACATGTACACAAATGCATAACACCTAGTACAAACTTCAATTTGTCTTGCCCCACTCTTAACCTCTTGCCCATTGAAAACACTGACCAAGAGTCACTCTCAGAACCTGGGTAGTGTCCTTTGGAACAACATGAATTTGAATTTGGACTAAAGTGACTTTGTACTGATTTTTCATATAAATCTGTTTGCTCTTACCTTTTTGAATCGCTTTACATTGAAAACTGGAACACCATACCTTTTCAAAATGAAACATTAAAAAAAAGAAACTAGCAGTCATTTTGTAGTTGCGGTTTCCACCATATCAATTATTGCTCTAATAAACAAATGTTTTGGCCTAATATCTGAATCAAAACTGTGCTAAATTATGGAGTGAGGACTCATGAAGTTGTTTGGAAAAAAATACCAAAATGTTTTGTCATTCCTCAGGGTTGGAATGTTGTGATTTCTAAGCAGAACCTCCCACTGTTAAGGACTGGTAGATCTTTATTTTTTTGGATCTGGAACCTTTCTGTGGAGGACTGGAGTGCTTTCTGGGGCATTAGAATCAGAATTCTGTTCACGAGATTCCTACTTACTCCATACTTGTGAAACTAGATAATTCTTAAATGGGAACCTATGAGAACTTTTGGGAACTGTGTTTCCCTTGTTAACTGCCATCCCTGTCTTCTCTCAAGCCTGGCTGAGCTTTAAACCAGAGGGCAGCTTTGTCTGATTTCATTTCTCCTCTCATCCTCTTTTCATTGATTTTTCCAAAAAAAAAAAAAGAAAAAAAAGAAAGGATCTCTTGCTTGTCTCATGTAAAGCTTGTATTGGGTCAGGAAACTAGTCCCAGTTCAGTTTAAAACTGTACTCACATGCTCTAAGTAACATGTTGAAGCCCATGTGAAGTTTAGTTTCACATAAGGTAGAGTAGGTCCAGGTCCAAGTCACTGCCAAGCCACTTTCCCAGGCCTGTTTTTATTCCATGCACATTCACCAGATGCCCTTTAGGTAATGAATTATAAAAATGTGGGTTCTGTTTAGATCGCAAGCTCTACTGGTGTCTGAGTCTGTTTTCAAACTCAGTATGAGGAAGATTTTTGTCTGAACATACAGTCTTCCTGTGAAATTGTAGGTAAGGTCAGTTGTCAGTTTTTCTCCAATCTGAGGGGCATCTGGTCCATAGAGCTGCTTTCAGTAGAAGTGCTGATCTTGCATCTGTTTCTGTGAGGAAGGTCATCGTAAAGAAGAGAGAAATCTGATCCTAGATAGTTAGACTTCCTCTGACTTTCAAGCTTTATGAACGGGCACATATAAGGTCACGACCTTATATGTGACTTGGATGTTTGACATGAAAATGAAATAAGATACAGAATCTGGCCTTTAACTCCTTGGTTGAGTAATAAGCTAAAGGACTCCTGACTGACTTGTTCCGAATTACTGTTCCACAGCCTTTAGCCAGTTTCCTTCAAAAAGGGCCTAGGGGAAGTGTCTGGGTTCTGATTTAGAATTTGGCTGATGTATGAACCTAGCAGGATTATAATGGGCAAATAAGGTGGCATGTGATGTGGCTGTGGTGAGCGGAGTCTGGTTTAGGAGTCTTTTGTTCCATTCCCACACCCTTATCTCAGGCGATGCCTAAAGGCCTGACGTGGTGTGCCTGAGACTGACACAACCTTGTTTTTGTAGAAAAAACCAGCATATGGGACTATTTTACAACTAATGAAATAAAAGGAAACTTTGAATATTTTTTTCTTTAATTCTGCCTCATCATTTGAAATGCCTTCATCGTTGTAGGACCTACACAGATAATCATTGCACATCTTGCAACTTTAGCATCATTCACTGAAGGTTAGTACAAGATTTGGCTTGGCATTTAGTTTCAATAAGCATACAGTAAACAAAACAATTGCACAGAGTTGTACATTATAATTTATATTGCCTGGAGGTTTTTCTCCCATTTTTTTTTTCCTTTTCATTTTAATATTACCATTTGCTACAGTGTGACACTTCAGGAATAACAAAGGGTACATAAGAAGACAAATAAAAAATAAAGAAATGCATCAGGAAAGAATTAATACTGATAAAACAAGGAGCACAATAGTTTGATCAGTTGTACTCTGCAAAATCAAATTTATAACCTTTTTACATTGTTTTAGTTATCCATTCTGAGCTTTGTAAAACATTTCAATTAAAAATTCTACTGAATTTAATAAAAATGTGGGTATATTTTTCAACAATTTCATCAGTATGATTCTTTTAATAAAAAAATGCTTGTAACAAATAATGTCACTGAGTTCAGTGTTATGACCAAAATTAATGTAACAGTAAAAATAAAGGCTTACACTGCGTCCAAAATAACGCACTACTAATACCGTACACACTAAACATAGCTGCTATAGTCAGGAAAGTATGGTGGTGTAACATTTTGACATACAATTATTGTCACTATTGCTTACCACAGTAAACAGGATGTCAAAATAGAACACAGCCATTCACAGAGCACTCATTGGTGTAGTGTGTACTGTGCGTCGGTATGTGGATTAGGACGCAGCCTTAGTTTGGTATGATTTGCAATAACACCGTCACTTCCTTCTCACGGCGCTCCTCCGGTGTGTGTGTATGTCTCTGAGCTCCGAGACAGAGAGAGTGTTTAGCGGAGTGTGTGAGGGGCGAGTTAGGGAACCGAAACAGAAGACCATCCCCCGAGGAGAGTGTGTATGGAACATGGAGTGTGTGAGTATCGTTAGCTAAATATAGTTCATAAGTAAGAGAAGTAAAGTCATCTTATAGGTTAGCGAACCTAGCAGAGCTGTCAGACTGCGCTGCCTGGCTTAGCTTAGCTTAGTTTAGCTCAATGAATAAGTTTGATCCCGCCCTGTTTGCCTCTAACTCACAAACCAGCGCTAGTCGCGACAAAAGGCCACTTAACTAACGATTTTCAGCAGTGTTTCAAAGAGTCTTCAAAGAGTTTTGACACCCATTACAGAGTTACAGCATTCCTTAGCCAGGTAGCTAATGTTAGCTTACAGTGAAACCTAGCTGTAAATAATAATAGCTTGTTAGCTAACTTAGCTGGTGGCTTCCTAGCTAATGTCTTTGGTAGGTTCGTGTACTTGGCCAGCTAATTAACACGGGCTAACCAGAGCTGACTAACGTTTGTCCGGCGGCGCAGTGTGATATATCTTGCTAGCTGTTGCTAACGTTTTCTGTTTGATAATGCTAGCTAGCACGGATCAAATATACATCTGTAGGTTACACAAACGTATTTGGACATTTGGGACATTTGTGCTGTTCTGAAAAATATGGCATGCAAGTTAGTTACCAAACCAAGTGGCAAAGGGCGGCTCTTGTTTCAGATCGTTATCCTGAAAGATCCTCTTCTGTTGTTTGAGCAGTTTCTTGGCAGACTTGTGCAGGTTTGCTTTGTACACTTTGGAGTTCATGATCCCCTCACCGAGCACAAGCACCCCGACACCACTGTAAGAAAAACAGACCCAGACTTTGACGAGTCCCTCTGTGCTTTACAGTAGCCTTGCCCAGGTTTTAGGCTTTAGGCTTTCTCCACATTCAGAGTCCACCAGCAGTTTGTTGTCGTGCTAAAAGTATTTTTCTCTCAAGCAAATATAATTTGGTTAAGGAGACTAAGAACTCAATTTATTCAGTGGTTAGACTGTTAAAATGCTATTTCGGGGCCATTGTATGTATGATTTTCAGTGCTTTGCGGCATTGCTAAAATTCATTATCATCATATTTTCTGAATATTTCCACAAGTTGCAGTGATGGAGTTAATGAACCAATGCTTCGCGTGTACTTGGACCCTTATGTTAAAATAATGTCTGACAAACCTGACACTGCTTGTTTTGATTGGACTGTTCTGCTTTCATTTCTTAAAATGACACCAAGAGTTTCACATAGTATTGTAAAAGTTAACAAGGCAAAAGGTTTCCAGCATATCACCACTGTCCAAAAAAGCAAAAAACAAAAAAAACAACAAACAAGTTTCTCTATTTTTGTTATTTTTTAATAATTTAAATGTATTTATATAATTTGAGAAAATCAACTGCCTTTTACATTGTGTGAAACATTTCATGATGAATGGACCAATAGAAATTCTCTAAAATTGCTTAGAATAAAATCTCTTTACATTAACTTACATTAAAAGTAAAGAACGTTTTTGCCCTTTCCGGTCAAGTTGCCATTTTGGAGATAGTTGTTTTCCGTTGGACAGCGACAATATTTAATTATTATTGTATATATTTTAAGCTGTTCTTGTAATCTGAAGCACTGAGCAAATGATAAACAACCGTCTAAAACCAAACTAAAAACAAACAGGGCATAACTATTTCATGGGAATTGTATTGTGGATCTCAATATTTTGCTAAAAAGTATAGTATATAGATATGTCAATACAGTACCTATCTACTAAAATTTTATTGTGTATGAGTTAAATGCAGATCTCTTTCTTTGTTTTCAGCCCAAATATTTATGACTCAAGCTTCTAAGTACTGGACCAGTTAGTTAGTGCTCATGCGTTGTGTACTCCCTTCAGTGCCAGTGTTTCCTAAATATTAGTGAGCACCATTACGCTGTGTTTGATGAACATGATATGTGTTCCAGTGTATGAGTGTAGCTAGGTGACTTAACTAAACACAGTCTTGTCCAAGTTGATCATATTTCTTGTAATTGAATTGTTCATACAGAACTGTATGCTGTTTTTCTATCAGTAATAAGTAGAGTTCCTGCTTTGTGTCACAGCCTTTGCTGTTCATGCTCTTTCTATTTAAATGTAGGATTGCTGTTTGTTTCAGGCTAAGTAAATGTGAATAAAAGGAGTCAACTGGCCATATTAGAAGTAGTGTGACTAGAGGTGGGGAGTAAGTAGTAGTAGTAACTAGTCATAATTTATGTTTACTCAGTTACTTGTACTCAAGTAAGTTCATGGTGGGCTTGTACATTCTGCAGTATTTGCATATGCTAATAATTTTGCTTCTGTTCAAGTCTATATCTAAGGAAAGGAGTCAAACCTTTACTTGGTTTCATGTTAGAACAGAGTCTATGATCCTTCACTTCCTTTGCTGATAGATGCTGGATGTACCAAGACATTCTGTTTCAGTTCTGTATGTTATTCTGTACCTTTTTCTTTTTGAGTTAATACTTTTGTACTTCTGCCCAAGTTGTTTTTTTGAAAAGCACTTTTACTTGAGTCATTATTCTATGAAAGTAACCTTTTATCTTTTAAAATACTTTTAATTAAGTAAGGTTTTTGGGCTACCCTTGCCACCTCTAAGTGTAGCTAATGAGTCAGTGAAGTGGGAAAGCTTTAAGTGTGGTCACAGTACAGGCAGAGTTTTATATATCCTCTGAAAATCTGTTGAGAGGCAGTATATATTGCTGTGGCTGAAATATGAGGTCATACATTTCCAAAATGTTCATTTTCAGCCAGTAAGATGCTGCATAAACGTTTTGAGGTGCAGGCTGGCTGACCCATCAAAACTGCTTATTTAACTAATATTTAATGAAGAAGGGAAAGATTGGATCCAGCTTGAAGGAGCTAAAAATAACTGGCATGCTGGGACCTCTCTGAAATGGATGGTTTATGGGATCTGATAGAACAGGGCTGGTGAACTCTGGTCCTGGAGTCCAGATTCCTGCGCACTTTAGTGCTTTTCCTGCTCACACACATTTGATTCAACTCTTCAGTTAATTACTAGGTTTAATTGGTGTGTTAGAGTCGGGAAATCAGCAAACTGTGTAGGACTCATTTGGCACTCATTTTTTTATTTAGAGGGACAGATAAACAGATAGACAGACAGATAGTACAAAAATGTGTTCAATGTCAACAAAAGCGTTTTTGAGTGTTTGCCTATCTCCTGTATGTATCTAAGGCTTGTGTTTCTGTTTTTTCAGGTTTCTGCTGTTCTTGATGACTTGGAAGGTAAAAAGGAGACACATGTAGAGGGTAAGAAGCTGAATAATGAATTGTAATTACAAATGAACAAAGGTCCTGTCATCACAGTGCAGTAGTTAGATTGTGTCAGATGGTTTTAAAGTAAACCTGAAATCAAAATGGATCTTTTTACCTTTGTTAGTTCATGTCCAGGATCATATTAAGTATTATTCTTCATTTAAAAGACTGATTTTCCATAATCTTCCATCAAAATGTTATCACTTTTACCCACCTCTAAAAACATCCTGATTTTTGATTGTCATATAAAAAAAACTAACCAGAGAGATCACGTTTCACCTCCAACTTCCACCAAGCCCACCTATCTTAAATTGTTATGCTCAGTGTTTCACTTGGAAATAGTATGTTAAGAGGTTCAGTGAAAGATTTACATTCTGTTGCTGTTTTTCATCTAATGTTGGTTGAACTTTTATCTAATCTTTAATTTTGGTGAGTCTAGATCCTGAACACAATGTGTATACCCGCTTTATGAAGGCACATCGCTGCTATGACCTGGTGCCGACCAGCTCCAAGCTGGTGGTGTTTGACACGTCTCTGCAGGTAAAAAGACTGCTGGAGAGAGCAGAAAGAAAAACAAAAATAAATACAGCCTGTTATGTGCAGTAATTCTATCTGTTGGGAAAGTTATTGGTAAAAATTTAGATGTTTTCGTATGACAGGAGTGTATCTGAGAGAGAGAAAAAGATTGTCTTTCTTGTGTGAATCTGTTGATTCCTCTCCTTCACTAGGTGAAAAAGGCATTCTTTGCTCTTGTCTCCAATGGAGTGAGAGCTGCTCCTCTTTGGGACAGCAAGAAGCAATGCTTTGTGGGTAAGTGGGTTTTTGTGTTTTATTATATTGTCTTTATATCAGGGGTGCACAGACCATTAATTTTTATGATGATTGTAATTTCATTACAGCCTAATTGGCTTTTTGGGCAACTTCATTAGCCTTTTACAATAATTTTTTAGCCTTTCACACTACTTAGTCAGGAGACAAAGGAGATGTTCAATGCATGTCCATGCAGTGCTTCGAGCCCTGTAAAGATTTTTTTAAAAAAAATTGAAGTCTGAAGTGTCAGGTTGGATTTCGCCCGAGTTTTTCAATCCATGTCGTATGTCTTTACTTATTAATGTCATGCACAGGCTCTGGCGTCTTACTTGACAGTGTGAGTCATGCATAATCATGTTACAGTATTTTGGTACATGTGTAGCAGCATTCAAATACAGTGCAAATGCACTTACTTGGCTCATGTTATAAAAAAAAAATCAAAAACCCAAATAATAAATACATTCCACTTTTTGCCGATTCTGATTGCGCATCCCTAGTTCTCAAGATAGGGACTTTAAACATCAGCGGCTGAGGAGAAGTCTACAGTTACTGGAAATAAAGCTGCATTAATGCCATTGCCACAGAAACCAAAGTCACTAAGCAACAACCTTACCACAACAATGAAATGGATGACCTATTTTGAGAAAGTGCAAAAATAGACTTAATTAACCAGTGTCTCTGAAAAATTGCTCTGAATTCATTGAAGAAATGGTATTATTATCTAATGCAAATAAAATTCTACTGAAACAAACTAGAAAAAAAACATGAAATTAAGTTATTTAAACCTTAAGTTTTAACAACTACTACAACTTTGCTGTTTCTGCCACTGTAGCTGTCCCTGCTGGCATCATTGCTTAAAGTTTAAAATGTGTAGCTTTGCTTTTCTTTTAACGCAACATCCTAAACACTGTAATTTTTACAGGTATGTTAACCATAACAGACTTTATCAACATTCTCCATCGCTACTACAAGTCACCTCTGGTAAGTACCTGTGTATTTTGTCATCTAATAGTAACAACAGGAATAGACACCTGTAACTTGTCAGTGTGATACATTTGCATTTTACATCCATTAAAATAAATGCAGTATGTAAATTTTGTAGTTTTGAATGCAGTATAAATATTTGCCTAAAGTTCGTCACTATATTGTGTAGCACAGATAAAATCAAATGCAGACAACCTCAGTCGTGTATACTGTTGAAGTCTGTTGAAGGTTTAAATGATTCCCTTAATATCTGTCTTAGGTCCAGATATATGAGTTAGAAGAACACAAAATAGAGACGTGGAGAGGTGAGAAATTACATACAATATTACAGATTTCTGGGTGTAGTCACTGCTGTATGTAACATTAATACATATTTTGTCATCTGTTTCTTGATAGAGGTCTACCTGCAAGATTCCTTCAAACCTCTTGTTAGCATATCACCTAATGCCAGGTAATATTTTACATATCCAAGTAGGATTTTAGATTATGGATTATGTATGCGTGAGTACTCTGGAGTGATATATTTAGAATAGGGCTCACTTATCATATTACTCTTCTCTCTTCCCTCCAGTCTGTATGATGCTGTATCTTCTCTGCTAAAGAACAAGATCCACAGGCTGCCGGTGATCGACCCTCTGACAGGGAATACACTCTACATCCTTACTCACAAGAGGATCCTCAAGTTTCTCAAGCTCTTTGTGAGTACTGGGACCAGGTGTTAGTTCTGTACCATTAACACAGAGCAGACGAGGCTTTGGGAACCATATCACTCACCTCTGAAATGTTTATTCTCGCTTCTGCCTGGTGGAGGCAGAGGTGAGATGTACAACTTCTTGTGTCAGGTTTCTTCTGGTTTCATGGCAAGATTCATTATTAGATGTTTTTAAGGTGACACATTGTTAATCATGAAATTTTATGCAATGTTAGGGCCAGCTGATGTTTAAATGTTGTAGAAATATTTTTTTTTATTTTTGTTTTTTTTGCAGAGCTACAATATGTACAATATTTTCATTGTATTTTTGATATAGTTCAAGAGGGATCTCTAAATTCGATCCTTTGGGGGGAAAAATTTCTTTCCTATTTTTGTATTCTACACAGTCATTTCAAAATGTAGCTGTTACACTGACCTGATTTGAACTCTATACCACCCATTTTGTAGTGTAGGTACAAATACATTAGAAATAGACATTTTAATTCAGCACAGTTTCATGATTTATAACAGCAGGTATAGTTCTAAATCCAGTATGATTTATCCAAATGCTTTGAACCGATTTTTAATGTCTATTCTGCTCCTTTCAGATTTCGGAGATGCCCAAACCAGCGTTTCTTTCACAAACTCTGGAGGAGCTCAACATTGGAACATTCGAAAACATTGCCGTGGTCCACTCTGATACTCCCCTCTACACTGCACTGGGGATCTTTGTGGACCAGAGGGTCTCTGCACTGCCTGTAGTTGATGATAAAGGTGAGAGTGAGAAGCTGGTGTGAAACTAGAGAATTAGTTTCAGTACAGAGATGTGTAGATTGCACTCACATAGTCATTTACACCATCATGTTATTTCCTGGCTGTTAATCTTCGTTTCTCTGTTTTCTTTCCACTCCCCCCTTCTCCCTTTCACCACACAGGAAGAGTGGTTGACATCTACTCCAAGTTTGACGTAATAGTAGGTTTCTCAACTCTGTGTTCATGTGCAGTGTAGTTGTCAGGGAGGGCTTGGTGAGGTTTTTTTGTGTGTCTGTGTGGTAACAGTTCTGGGTCAATGTAGGCTACTGGTGTCTGTTTGCAGCCTCTGGCTTCAATATTGATCAGTCAGGGAATGTTCATCAGCCACAGTGATGTGTGTCCACGTAACTATTTTAACTATTTCTCTCTTACTCTGTTACACTGATAGAACTTGGCTGCGGAGAAGACATATAATAATCTGGACATTACTGTGACCAAGGCCCTTCAGCATCGCTCTCAATACTTTGAGGGTGTTCTCACCTGCCAAGCACACGAGACTCTGGAGGCCATCATCAGCAGACTGGTGGAGGCAGAGGTGAGACACAAACACATCTCCATGTGGGCGTAGAAAGCACATTGGTTGGTTGGTTGGGTTTTTTGTTTTGTTTTGTTTTTTGGGGGCTTTTTCCCCATTTGTCCATGTTCACAACACAATGATGAAGTGTATTTTAGTAGTTGTAGTAGTAGAAATGGTTCACAGAAAGCGGTTGCCTTGCCCTCATTCAGAATGTTTTGATACATACATACATACATCATCTAAACCGCTTATCCTACTGGGTCGCGGTGGGGTGCTGGAGCCTATCCCAGCTGTCATTGGGCGGAAGGCAGGATACACCCTGGACAGGTCGCCAGTCCATCGCAGGGCAGACAGACAGACATACACAGTCACACACACACTCACACCTAGAGGCAATTTAGCACGTCCAATCAGCCTGACTGCATGTTTTTGGGCTGTGGGAGGAAACCGGAGTACCCGGAGGAAACCCACGCAGACACGGGGAGATCATGCAAACTCCACACAGAAATGACCCTGGTCGCCCGGCCGGGAATCGAACCCAGGCCATTCTTGCTGTGAGGCGACAGCGCTACCCACTGCGCCACCGTGCCGCCCACGAATGTTTTGATATATATATATATATTTTTTTTTGGCTGATTTTTATTAACATTATTATCACTGTGTGGGCTAAGTGAACACATGAAACACTGGTACCAATACATTTTATTAGGCAACATAAATTTACTCATTAACAGGCCAAACTAGCATTTTAAATTACTAAAAAAGAAATGGTGGTTACCTTTTTAAATAACATGAAGACAAAGTGGTACATTGGAAGTAAGAGGCAACTGGCTATTTAGCACAATGTCATGTGCATAGTTATACCTTTAGCTTGACATTAAGCTTTTTAGGGCTTGTCCAATGGACAAATTAATCTAATTAATCTACATTTTGCTTATCCAAAGAACAAAATCCCTTGTCACTCAATAATTACATTAAAGACTTTAACTTGCTTCCAACTGTGTTAAGAGTTCTGCTTCTTAACTCTATTTAAAATTAATAATATTTAAAAAAGTATACTTATGCCGTCTGGTGAAGCCGTGTGGTTTGATGGTCACTTTTGCAGCTAATCTAGCTACTTGCTTCTCTGACAGATTTGTGACTTCTTAGACTTGTTCATTTTGCATTATGAGCTTTCAGAGCTTTATGTTGTGGAGGATGCAAAATCATTCTGACTGATGGGCTTAACTGCGGCTGCTGAAGTAAAGCCCCCAGGTTTAATGATTGTCTGTACTTATTTTCTGTTTATGCTCATGCCTCAGAATGCTTCTTCACACTAGGGCTGAACAATTAATTGGGTTTATATTGAAATCACAATTTGAAAGAGTAAAGTTTTCAAATCACATGAACTGCAGATTTAATCATATCTTACATTATTTAAGCGCCTTAGCAAGTTTGTAAACTTAGCCAATAGTAACTAACTGTTTTATCTGTCTCATGCTCTCTTAGGTCCATAGATTAGTGATAGTAGACGATCATGAGGTGGTGAAGGGCATCGTTTCTCTCTCGGATATCCTGCAAGCTCTAGTGCTCACCAATGGAGACAACGGTAAGACCTTTTTAAAATACTAGTAGTTTAGTAGTGTATAATGGTTACTGATTATCTCCATGCTGTCATAAAATTTTTGAGATTTTACACTAGATCAGTTTTGTTTTCTATAGCGTTAGCTTTGATTAATTTCTACCCAAATGTTATTTGATACTCAGGAACAATTTATTGAAGAGTTAAGATTGCAGTACTCTTGAACACAATTCTCTTCATAAGACCTCATCTTTTCATCCAGGGACTGCTTAATAAAGCACATCGCTCCTTCGACTGGGAGATGAGAAGAAGAAGAGAGAGGAGAAGAGGAGGAGCGTGAGAAGAATTGTGGCTGGTGAAAAATTGGCAACAAGTTGGCAAATCAACAAGACAGTCGATTTGCTAGTTTTCAACAGCCAAACGGGGGAAAAAATGAATCAGCAAGGAATCATCAAATCACGCAGATCTAAATCTCCAGTAAGCCTATGTTTTTAGGAAACAATGAAATGTAGACCGTTTTTGATATTTGATATTTTTCAGATTTGATGTGCCCTTTTGCTTTTGAGTGGAACAGAAGCTGATGAGCATCTGGAGGAAAAGATAAGCTCACCATCTCTTCTCTCTTTCTTCCTCTTGCACTGAGGGGAGAACAAATGTGAAGGAGAATTCAGCAATACAAACACAGGCAATAGGGAAAGAAGGGGCACAACTGTAGCCACAGCAAAGCACACACCAAAATCCTAAACCCACAAACCTGAAGCAGCTATAAGCCCCACTCAGTGCTGCAACTTCTGAAGACCGAACCAAGTATTTATCTTCATGCGTTCTCCAGTAGTGTAGCTGAGAAAGTGGAGAAAGTGGCAAGTGCGATAGGGATACCAGTATATCAGTTCCATCCATAGACAATCCATTTCACTTTTATTTCAATGGCTGTCTAAAAATATTATGACACACGGATGAAGTTATGTAAATGGGCATTTCGTTCAGTACGTCCTGTGAAGACTATTTGTGGTCCCCCTCAGTTATGCCCAGAATGCGGGCATTTTGTTGTGCAGGATGTAAAGAACAGTAAGAATTTGTTTAGGTGTTCTTGAGAATAACAGTGTAGTTGAAGCATGTTAAAAATATCCAATGTACAGCTCCCACATCCAGGGTCATAATGTCACACTCACTACAAAACCTTTTATCTCCGAAATAGTAAATTTACAAGAGGAGGAAATGAAGTTCTTGAACATGCAAAGATTTTAATCCCAGTTCATTTTGGACCATTTCTGTCGGTCTGTCTGTCATGCAGAGTTCTCACAATGAAAAGGGCAGCTGATGTCTTCACATAAGAAAAAATAGAATACCGGAAAAATGGAGATGGGGTTTTGCTACGACAGTGACGATTTCTGTCAGGTCCCTCAGAGTCAGAGTACTGTTCTAGAATCACTTTTCACCTTTCTTAACCTAATTATGTGAATCAGATTAGCACTCTTTGCTCAGATGTTTGAGGCAGATGGACCCTGAGAAATACTCTTTCGTAAGCTGGTCAATGGTAGTTTTGGTAAAACGATCTTCCTGCACTTCAAAATCAGCCACTCTTTGCTTCTGAGAAAGGGGACCCATAAAGCAATCACTACACAGGAACTCCTGTTTGCTCTGAAAACTGGACTGCACTTAAACAGAACTACTCTTCATGCCCTCACAATGTGAAGTTAAAGTACAGATTTTACTGTTTTAGTATGTTTTAACATTGTGTTAAACAGAATATATAAATGTAATCATGAGTTATTGGTTCTTACTACTATTATTGGCAACACATATCATTTCTCTTTAGTTTCCCATAATGATTTTGACCCAAACGCACTGGCTTGGATTGTGTAGTTGATCATGTCGTTGTACAGTATATTTAAAAGGGTTTATAATAAGTGTGAGTTACAGCTTAGTATCCTTCTATGATCCAGGTAATTCCATGGACATTGTTGGACAGGGGTGGGAAAATACTTAAGTGATTGTACTTTTACCTAAGTACTAAAGTATTATTTTGTGATGTGTGTACTCTACTCGAGTATGATTGACACTTGTAGATCAAGAGTAATTTTGCAAATCCAGTCACATTCATATGAATATGAGGACGTTTCCCAAAACCATGGTAATTCACCTTTGTGTAAAGACCCCTACTGCCTGCTACTCACTCAGCCTTGCTAGTTTTGGTTATGTAGTGTGTGATCAGCTCGTGGCCAGTGTTAAAGGTACTTGAATGCAAGTACTGCCTTCTAATTCCACCTGTTAAAACATTAACTTTTATATATTGAATATTTAGTATTAAATGCTGATAAATCAATTATATTTTTAGCTTCATACTTCCACTTTTAATGAAGATTTTTTTCTAGTACCCATACATTCACTTAAGTACAGTTTCTCCACCCCATTGTTGGATGTGTCCAGAGCCATCAAACACTCAAGAATGTTTGATTTAACATGTATTTCCACATAATAGACAAAGTTTATGGGACCGCACCCATAATTGTAGGAAGTGCAAGGAAGGAATAGGTTTTTTCCACTGGCATGTTGAAAATTCCTCAAGCCCCTCAAAATAAAACAAAACAGGTACTGAGAACACCATTTAGGTTGATACAGTATACAGAGGGCTTTTAAGGACCCATGTCTTTGATGCCAAATAACTTCTTAAACAAAGTTGATGGATCTATATAGCAAGACCTCGAAACACTGGCATGTTTTCCTTCGCTAGCCATTGGAGCGGGCGTTGAAGGCCATGTCAACCACCATATTATCTTTGCTGATTTTTTCATTTTATTCGTAATTTCATTTTATTCTTCTCTTAATTAATCAAATATGTATACAAATATTTGTAAATACTTCCAAAACATTTTATATTCCTTATGTTCATAATTTAATGCATGAGCAAAATAAATGTTTTGTTTATCTTAAAATGGTTCATTTCTTGTGCTGAGTTACAAATACTGCAGTGCCTGGAAATCCTTCAAAGTTGTTATTGTAGACATGTCTCTGCAACTATAGTTCGAAAGTGGAAGTAAACCGATACCTACTTTAATACTTGTGGTTTAAAATCACAGGTCTAAAGACGTGATCAGCACTTTTATATTACGGTGTTAGGATGAATGTAGTGCAAAGTCAGGTGTCATGTCACAGGTTGATCACTGACATTTCCAGCGATATATATTATTTGTATAAGTCTGAGTGCATGGCCAAGCTTGAAGATTGGAGGATAAATCTTTCCTTGTTATTGTTTCTGTCAGCTATGCTGTATTTTTTATTTAAGCGAAGAGGTTTGGTTTATAGGTTATTCTCGTTAGACTTTGGACAGGATAGGGAACAGTAAATGACGTGTGTCTGCTGAGTTGACACAATGAGAGGGTACAGCCTGAAGAAATGTAGAGTCTATGATTAGCATAATTCTGCATAATTCAGTCATTGAGGTGTGAACAAAGTCAGAGTTCACACCAGTGCTGGGATGGAACTAGTGGTCATGTCTACAGGGCAAATATTAAAGCTCTCTGTGATGTAGAGTCATTAAACACTTTGGACGTCTGGTTCCTATCACCACCACTGTGAACAATTCTAACTTCTGTGTTTCTCCACATTAAACCACTAAATCACTTTGTATAGGTCTTAATTATATAGAAATTATGTAAAATTAAATGTTAGAATTCCCCTTAAAGCACCATTATCCTACATTTGTCTTGTATTTGATTTTTTTTTATGAGGTCCATTTATAACATTCATGTAGTTTTATGCACCAAAACGTTTTTACATGACGATTTCCAGCCTCTCTATCCCTTTAAATTACACAGGCTGTTTTTGTTACTGTACCTTGAAGACTGAAATATGTAAATGTGCTCTGTTCTGATTGGCTGCTCTGTTGTGCCTCATTCAAAAAGCAGCCCGGCCTAAAACAGTCATGGGTGGAGCTAAACTGCTATAGCCTTAACAGGTCAATATATGTAAATCATATCACACAAAAAAACGGGCTGTTTTTGCAGCTCAGTTTCCATAAACAAACTGCATGGATCAGATAGTGAACAGTACGTTTTAAAACTCAGAGGCTGCAGTTACATACAAGATCTTTTATTTTAAAAAAGTGAGGACCGTTTTCATAACATGGGCCCTTTAAGAGAGCATGACTGCACAGAAGAAAGAGACAGTAAGGAGACTGCAATGTAGGAAAATCTGTCTTTATTACTGTATAATATTACCTATGTACATGATTGGAAACTATTCCTGAAAAGACTCTCGTTTGGGTTTAGGAGCTCACTGAGATTATACGCAGCTGATAGGTTTCAGGGTTCAATATAGTACAATATACCTTTCCTCATAGTAATACATCTGAGCGCGAGCTCATATCTGGCCTGTGCACTTTAATAACGATGCGGCATTTCAGGTATCGTAGCTACACAGGTCTCCTGAATTAGATTCAGAACTGGAGCAGACCTAAATTCATAGATATTATTACAACCCTGACTGTGCTCACTTCTCCAAAACCCACCAGCAGCAGAAACTTTGTCAGGAAGCTATAAATATATGTACATACACTTTCAGCTGGAGAGCTGAAACCAAAGACAGAATAGAAAACAAATACCACTGTTTAACAGTACACAAATCAAATAGAGGTAAAACATGAGGATTTTCTTATTTGTACCTAGAAACCCCAAACCTTTCATTTTCATCATTTACTGACGTTGCTCAGTTTCAGCTCAGGAGAGCGCTGACAGTAGTGTGGACTTTTTTATAGGAAGTTTCTATGGTAGTGCACTCTTCAGTAGTGTACGGTGCAGTAAAAGAGGGTTTTTTGCTTTCCTGAAAACAACAAGTAAGTCTTAATAAACTTTAAAACGACAACCCAAGAAATACCCTACTCTCCACAAATTACATTTTTGGCTTTCACATATATAATAGGTGAGGTTTCGATTAACAATTTCATGCCAAGTTAGCTTTAATTTGAAGGAAAATAAAAAAAAATAAAAAAGTTTATCCTTTAACATGACTAGGTATCCTATTTGTGTTCTGAGTATCTGTGCACCTATCCTTAAGACTGAGTAACTATATCGCAAACATGGTACATAAAGCACTAGCACTCTGTCCTTTACAATTTTCAAGATCGAGAGAGAGAGAGAGAGAGCGAGAAGAGAGTATCAGTAGTAGTACCTCCAAGTATACACTCATCAAAGAAAAGAGGATCACAAAAATACGGCAAGCTACAAGAACAAAACTGTCTATCGGATCAAAAAATCTGACATCAAAACAAAAAAAAAAAATCATACATTATACAAACTATTTACAACTTGCATATCAAGAAGAGTAAGGGAGAGTGAGCAAGAACAGGGCAGTAGTACTGAGTGATTATAGAAAAGTAATTCAGGTTGTCTGCAGTACAGTAGTCAAAAAAAATACAGTGTAAAATAGCAGAGGCCACTCCTCCAACTTCAGTTTTAAAAGGAGTCATTACTGTGTCCACAGACACACCACCAGTGTTTCAAAAGACTAACAGCTTATCAAGTCTCAGTTTACCATCAGGTAATCCAGTCCTAACTAACTGATGGGTTCCCTGTGAATAGTTAGCACATTAAAGGTTCACTCAGTTCAATATTTCCAGTGTTTTTATGGCTGACAGGTTAACGTACGTTACCAAAAGCGCATTGTTAAATAAATCACTGTTACGTTACTTAATGTTACAGTGAAAAGCAACACACAGAGTGGAGTGCCTGAACAAAAAACTGAAAAATGTGCCACCACTTTGGCAGCTCAGCTGATACTGCCATGCTCATCAAGTCCCATCACTGTTTAACAGCTCGAGCCCTAAAAAATCCTCCCCAACACTTTAGCTTAGTATCAAAGCAAAACTCTAAAAGGGTAAAGATATATACACATTAATGTACCTTTCAAAAAAATAAATTCTATGTACATTAGCTTTGCTTATGGAGTACAAGAGAGCCCTAATGACACGAAAAAGGACAAATGGAGCGTCTAAAACCTAAAATAAATACGACGTACCATTCAGTAGTGTGTTCCATAGAAGGAGATGGCGATTAGCTACGTTCATGCTCACAAAACATCATACGTAAGTCAAACATGCAAATAAGATTGTTTTGCTGACAATTTCAATGTGGCTGTCCTAACACTGAAACAATCGATGAAGTCTAAAACAGACGAATAATAATGTCTCACATTAGTCAAAAAATAAAATGAAAAACAAACAAAAAAAAAAATCATCAATTTAGCCACAATCCAGCTCTATGAAGGTATGCCATTATTCAAGCTAGTATAAATACAGTTGTGTGCAAACATCTGGGCACCCCAGTCAAATTGCTTTGTTGATTTTCTAAGTCAGGGGTTCTCAGCCTTCCCCACCCAAACGCCCACCTGTGTATGACTACTAAGCATTGCGGCCCACAGAAAAATAAAATCAGCTTTTAAAAATGCGACCTATCTTTTTAAAATGCTGACACTGCAAACTTTGAATTAGGTCATAAACAAGATCAGACTGGCCAATCCGGCTGTCAGTAGGTTTGCAAAATTTGCAGGCGTGTTAACAAACATGAAAGATGTTAAAAACCACATGGTTTAAGTGATGTCAACAAGGGGGAAAAAGAAAAAAAAAAAAAGAATAAAAATGCTCAAGGTAGATGTGATTTAGAGCTGCAGTGCATCGCGTTTTTACTGAAAAATTTCCAAAAGAGTAGCGTTAACTGTTTGGTGTCGATATCTCTCTATTTTAGAGGATTTCTGTGATTTATTTGAAGTAAACCTCACTTCGCTCACTGGGCTTTTAGATTAGCGTCGTCACTATTAACAATAACGGTAAATCTTACATGAAATCTGCTCGTCATTTATCGGTTTATCAGTTTCAGTTTAACCACTCAGGTCACTGATGATCGACCAAAAGACGCTCCGTGATCAATGAGTTGAAATCAAACGCCTCTCTTCTCTGTCATTTTATGGCTCGTCTGTAGTTTTTAGCAGCAGCCCGTGCTCAGTGTCTGATAAGTCAGTCGTTATGCTGACTGTACGGCGCCGTCGTGCCTCGAGAAGAGACGTAAAGCCAGCTCTGCTGTTGATTCCCTCGTTTGATCACAGAGGCGTTTCCATCAGCAGTGAACTGAACAGGGTTCGACCGAGACCCGCGGGTTCCTGCCGGACCGGTTCAGCTGTTTGCTGCAGACCCGAATACGGGTGGAGTGTTCACACACGTCAAAACGGAGCGAACTAAAGAGAAAGGTGTGATGATCCTCACCAAACAAAGTGCCCTGAGAAACTTCTCCATCTCTGGCCAGCTGTCTGCATCGCGCGCCCGCGGCTGCGTTGTCTGAGACCGATGACGTTTAATTAGCCCAGTACTGCGACGCCTTTATTTGTACGTCTCTATTAATATTTATTTTGGTTATCCCGTGAAAACGTTTAATTCTTAGATTTTATAATTATTAAGTTGATCATTTTTCCACTTATGTTCTAATGACTTATAGTGACGTTACCAGCCCGAATTACTGCCTCCCTCTGAGTTCAGGCCCGCGGACCACTAGAGGGTGCTTCACGGTACACTGGTGGTCCGTGGTTCGCGACCCACAGGCTGAGAAACCCTGTTCTAAATGACATCGACTTCAGAGAACACGCCTCTGCACATTTTAGTGAAAACTTTATACTATGCTGAATTTAACATATTGGAAAAACAAACAGACAGAACTGTGCAAAACGTATGGCATATATTTTGTTTTTTTTTCCCCCCAATATGTAAAACTCAGCAAACAAATATAAATTCTGCACTAAAAATTGCAGAAAATGACATATTTAAGTTTGTTTCCTGAAGATGTTTTTATCAACAAAACATGTAATTTGACTGGGAGGCCCAAACCTTCGCATACGACTGTATATCAGTAGTGCCATAACATCATATCAAGTTTTACGTTTCAGATCGTTATCAGTTCTTCCTGAACTGACGTGCTTGGGTTACCTGCGTAATCTGTCTCCTCTAATCTCCTCCTGAAATCTGAGGTTTGTGTAATCTAATATTACACTGGAGCTAAAGCTCTTGGCTAGCACCCGCATTCCAGCCTGCTAACCTTTAACACAGCCAACCCACATTTCTGAGAGAGAGAGACACAGACAGAGGGAGTGCAAGAAGCTCTGTACAAAACCACATTCAAATTTCACTCCCCTCCATGCTAGCAAACCCACCAATGGCTTCAGAGACATAACTGAGGAGTTCTACACAATATGCACATAGTGAGTCTATGAACAAACTTGTTTTAAAAGGTCACCTGTGGAGTGTGCTGCTGAAATAAGGGGGTCTTTAAAAATGTTAGAGAAAGTAGTCACATCAATAACACAGTTATCCACTTCAGCCATGGAACGGTCTATGGATATTAATAGGGGCAGCAGTGGTAGCAGTAGATCAGTAGTATCGGAACTTGCAGTCTGTGGCCATTTATGAAAATAAGAACGCAGGAAGGACTGGAGTCGGGTTCAAGTTCAGTTCAGTTCATCAAGGGTCATTAGAGGGGAGGCTGTGAGTACGATCGTTTTCAGTAGTTTTGGCTGTGAGGGTGAGGTAGGCCGCATCACAACTCTGTGGACGGCGTTACATTTTTCAAACTGGCAGGATAGTGTGGAGTAGTAGAAGTAGTATTTTTTTGTACAAGCGTTCACGACTTTGCTTGCGCCTCAGATTTTGACGTCCTCCTCCACGCTGAGTTGAGACAGGGTCTTTTTGATGCGCAGGGCGGTCAGCCGAGCGGCACCATTTGCATACCAGCACTCCCTCATGATCTTCCCCATCACACGCAATGCCTGAGAGAACAGGGGGGGCGAGGGACAGTAAGACACAAATGTCAATGACACATGACTATCTGATCTCAAGTTCTGGCAGAGCTACCATAAAAGAGACAGTGCTTTACAGAACTGACGGTCTACTGTCTGTACTACTTTTGGGTGTTGGAAAATTTGATCGTGGTCTCAAGAGTCTTAAGTCTATAGGCTATATCTTGATAGTATAATCAGTTTATCTAACACAGAGGGTCTTATTTTCTCCTCATGTTACTTTTCATAATGGAACACATATGGCAGTATGCTTATGCTGTAAGTTTTGTTTTTGCTAATGGAAAGAATGAAAGCAATAGAACCTTTAAACTGTGAATTCAAAATAATGCTTGTGAATTAAAAAAGAAGAACAAGTCTACACCAAGATACAAGAATGAGAGAAAAATTTGTTAATGTGTTAAATTCAAAAGTGAATTTGAAAAGTGATCAAATCTCGAGCCACATACCATCAAGAAATTACTGTAAATAAATACAGTATATTATTTTCCATTTAATTATTGGTGTTCCAAACAATTTTTTAAATATTAAATAAAACTTCTTAAAAAATACTTTCTGGTGTTCAGCTCATTGTATTTAAAACAACACTATGTTATTTATTAAAAGACAAAAATAAAAATAATTACTAATTTAAGTGATTAAAAATTTTAAACAGTAGTGTTGGAGAAGGGCATACTAATCCTGGCTGGCAGATACATTCAAGAAAAAGTCACAGCTTGAGAGAAAGTGGGTTGGTACATAAGATAAATGTACATAAGTTCATAAAATAGTACCATTAACAGCTGTGTGTGTGTGTAAGATTAAGTCTGTGGTTACCTGTGTTTGTTTGCATGTGACTGATTCATAGGGAGATGTATGATACATTTAAATGCTTTGATAACAATGTAACCTAATATGGTCAAGCCATAAAGCTTATTCAAGTCTGCATACATGTGGCTAAAAATATACACGTTTTAGTGTGTGTGTGTGTGTGTGTGTGTGTGTGTACCTCGTAGCTCTGCCACCAGTTGGGCACGTTTGGTCGTAACCTCTGGTCACACACCACTTTTCTCATCTCCTCTATAGATGGGTCTGAGGGCACCAGGTCATAGTAAGGAAGCTGGTACTCCTCATGGATACCTGACACACACAGACATGAAGAATATAGTGTTGGCTAAGGGAGGGCGATATAGCAAAAATACATCATGATACCTCAACACATGATATGCATCACAATAGTTTGTTTTTCTGAGGTCTGATAAGTTCAAACAAAATAAGTTAGTTGACAAAAAAGCCCCCAGTAGTACATCTAAAAAAAAAACATCAAAAACTAGATTTACAATGATTTTTACTAAGTTTCACATCCTGCACTTGACTAAATCAAATGAAAAAGGACTTATTATGCCCACTTCACAGTGACCATACAGTTGGTCGGTGTATGGAAGCACTGTGCTCAGAAAAGCATACAGCAACATGTGATGTAATTTATCACAATAACAATAAATGTCATCACATTGCCCACTATTAGTTTTGCCATTTGTTCATCATTGTTTTTCCATATTAGATTTTAGGAATGTAAATCTCACATAAAGATTTGATTGTTTAGGAAATGAAATCATAATGAATCATGAAATCGCAATTTCACCATTCAATTTGATTATTTGATTACTGACTGAACTATTGAGTTACATTTGAAAAAAAAAGGCTGAGAATTATATTTCTGCCAAAAAATGAGAGCATACTGTGTTGAATAAAATAACAAATTATAATCACTTCTAACACTCTAAAATCAGCTGAATCCTTAAATAACAGCATCACAATGGTCTGATGCATAATTACTTACTAAATTGTTTACTAAACCGTTAATCACTTTTGTTGCTTCTATAATGTAACAAAGATTTATATATAAAAAAGTGAAGTTGTGTAAAAGTTGTTGCATATTTCTTCACTTAAGAATCTAGACTAAATTATCACTTTTTATATTAGTAGGAGAGTTAGTCATTACTCTTCTTTAGCTTTTCATACCTCCAGCATTGCAGCGGCGAGCAATCTCCCAGTACACCAGCCCCAAAGCGTAGATGTCAGCACATTTAAAGGAGTCAAAGTGACGCATGTTAATACTCTCATCCAACACCTCTGGTGCCATGTACCTGAAACACACATACACAAACCTTTTCAGACACAAATACAAGCAAGCAGTTGTTGTGGCAGACAGGAAAGGGTAGAGCTACTTCTAGGACACTGGTGCTATTAAGTTTCATCTGAAGCCACTGTGGCAGACTGTTTAAATGTGTAGGTGGTGCGTCTGTGTGTACCTCTTGGTGCCAACACGCTGGTTGGGGGCGATATCGATGGTGTCTGTGACAGACTCGTGCCGCACTGCGAGGCCTAGATCCGCGATGGCACATGTGAGGTTCTTCTTTACCAGAATGTTCTTAGATTTCAGATCGCGATGAGCAATACCAGGCTTACCTGATCAATAACACAGATAAAACATTCATTCACAACACGATTCTGACATCCACCTGCAGCTCTAGAAATGTGTTGAAAGACAAGATTCTCAACTTCTAACTGATACAACATTTATCTTGTAAGTAGAAGATTTTATGATGTGAATTTATATTGAATGTGATCTGAAGTTACCATTTATACAACTTGAAAAACAAACTATACATTTTTGTATTTTATACAATTTTTGGAATATCTGAACAAAACAGAAAAAAGGCAGAGGTGCATATTCAAACTTGTCCATACAGAATGCAAATCAAAAGGAAACATTATTCATTACATAGCCATTTAATTAGTTATGTAATTACACTTAAGCAAGTACATTTAAATAGCAAAATGACACTAACTCTACACTTGTAAGGGTTAACTTTCTCTCTCTTTCATACATACATACACACATACCCTGAGTGCCTAGTATTTCCATATGCAGGTGTGCCAGGCCACTGGCTGCAGACAATGCCAGTTTGATCATGCCCTCAATGGTGACGGAGTATCGGTTCAGGTAGTCAAACAGAGAGCCATGCTCATGATAATCAGAGACCAGCCACAACTGTGTCCATGTGCCATTATCTGATAGAGATACACACAAAACATGACCATAAAATTAATAAGCTCTTTAGCCATGTACAAAATCATTTACATTCATGACATTTAATAGATGCTCCTCTTCAAAGTGACTTACAGTTTTAAAACCATACTACAGATGTGGCGAATGTAGTGTTAGGAGTTTTGCCCAATGACTCTCATTGGTATTAATCCCTGGTCTGCCACGTAGAAGGCAGCAGTGTTGCCCACTACGCTACATCAACCAATAGTGTGCTTACCTTTGTTGTCGGCTGCAATAAAGCCCAGAATGTTCTCGTGGCGAAGCATGATGGTCTGGTAGATCTCAGCTTCACGGAACCAGGAGCGCTCCTCTCGCGAGGAGAAGATTTTTCACAGCAACATCTCCACCTCTCCATTTCCCTCTCCAAACCTCCCCGAAGCGGCCCTTGCCAATGATCTCCTGCAGCACGATGGTCCGGGCAACCGTCCTCTGAACAAAGAGAGGCAGACCTGCCGAGAGAGAGCGGTAGTACAGAAAAAATGTAGGTTCAAGTTTAACCCAAGTATTCCATGTTCTATATGTCTACATGTTTTATGTTTATTGACATTTTTCATTTATTCTTTTTTAACATTTAGTCCTCTTGACAAAGGGAATGAATGTCTGACCAATCTGTCTATTCAATGACAATTACAGACACCTCTTTAGGAAACAATTCAATTCATTATGAAATGTCAAAAATTATTTTTCAAACTGAATTCACAAGCGTGTTATTGCAGCTACTAGTTACTGCAGCTATTCTTCTTCAAAACTGCACTAAGCATAAAAGGTTCAGAAAGAGAGAGCTCCAAAAAGCACCAAAATGGTAAGGTAGCCAAACAAGATTAAATCAAAGAAAGATTTCTTTGTATTCAGCTAAACAAAACCTCTGTGCCACATTAGTTCTTATTAGTTCATTCCTCTAGGGCTCTTCTTTGCTGTGATACTGACCTGATCCAGAGCCTGATGTGGACAGGTCATAGATGAGGTCCTGCAGGGTTTTGTCCTTGGCCAGGTACAGGTGCTCAGTGCTGGGGTCCTCCACCTCCAACCTCTGCCTGTGCCCATAGGCCCTCTGGTGGTGCTGGAAGAGGAAAAGTCCCAGCAGCACCAGCACACACACCACAAACACGGGCCCCGCCACCACTGCAGCCAGCTCCATCGGACCCCAGCCCCCCATCAGCCCTGCATCTGGACGCACAGTCACTAAGAAAAAGAGAGAGAGAGTGAAAGATGGAAAGATAAGAAAAAAGAAGGCATGAAATACAGACTATAAATGATCTTAATGTGTAGTGTGAATGGTGCACATGAAAGTAACCCCTGCCTGTTATCTTGAAATTTACTAACATCTTTTTATCCTTGGAGGCAATTTGTTTGCTGTCTCTAAATATATAATTATTTAGAGACAGCAAACACTGAATGGGGTCAAACTGACCCTAAATATAATATGATAATATGAGGGTTAAGAAAGTGATTTTAAAAGTGGTCTTTAGATGCTTTAAATTCAGTTTTCTTTAACCCTGGTCCTGGTGCACCTCAACCTTAGTGACACCTACCTGATCCATGACTAATACGTTCACTAAGAAGCCCTCTCTGAGTTGAAAGGGGTGTGGCAGAGTAGGGAAAATAATAAAATGTACAGAGTGGATGCTTGTATTTATTCTAATACATGGATACCCAAACCCATTTAAGTATTCTTTTACCTATCAGGTATTTGAATAAAGCATGTGCAGCACTGTGCATGAGATGCAGAACCGCAGACAATGTTAGGACAAAAGCACCTGATACTACGTCTCATGTTTAGTGAAATGGCAACATCTGAGCAGAGCTATGCATGGAAATAATTCAAATAAAAAGACGACAAATTTGCAGAAGTCGTCATTCTGTAGTACAACAAGTAGAGTGTTAATCTCATACATCTAAAACACTAGATCAAACGAACCACCAAGTGGATTTTACCTTATATCCTAGCTGTACACAATAAACGAATGTTACATCTTCAGTGTCATTTTCTTTACACTTAACAATACTGTCTTGTTGGGATATTGTAATATTATCCCTTTAAAAATCAGGCAATGATTTTTTTAATAGTTTGTACATTATTCAACTGGTGAGATATAAATAAAGTCATTCAGAGTGGTCTGATGTGGAAAAAGTTTGTTGTAGAGTAACATAGCACAGATTTCTTTACAGTGGTGTTGACAGGAACCAGGGGTCACAATGTTTACAGTGCAAATACAGCTATTTTATTTACTATCCAAAACAACCAGTAAACCTACATTGGCCTTCGCTGCTGTTGGAACAAAACCTTGTATGTCCATTGTTGCTATTTTTCAGTTTATGACATGATTTGAAAATGCCTGTTGCTCTTCACATTGTCTGCAAATTTCATGATGAATGATTACTTTTAAAGTTACATGTTAAATGTGTATGTTCCAAGTTTTAGGATTAAACAGAAGAAGGCGAACATCTTGCTATGTCAGCAATGCGAACAGCATACTATGGAAAGTTTATCCAAACACTAAATATATTTGTTAGAGACAGTTTTAATCTTGATTTTGGACAGATGATTATTTAATTCTATCATTATTTTCTATTATTTTTATTATTTTATCTCCCCATGATCTAATGCAGGCATGTCACACCGGGTACCTTCCAGGCCATTTTTGTGAGATTATTTTCTACCCTCATCATCCTCAATGCTCTGAATTCAGCTCATGAAGGCCTTGCTAAGTAGCTAAAGAGTTGCATCAGGTGTGTTTAATGAGGTAGTCTGCAGTGTTTCTGCCCGCAAGGGATGGAGCCTGACACGTGATCTAACGATTGCTATGATTGCCGCTACATGCTAATTTAACCAGTGCTATCACAGTCATTAGTGTTTATTCAACACTCTGGGTGATGAGTCGGTTAAGATCAGTTTCAGACAGAATTTTGATGGGCTCGTTTCAGATTGAAAACTTGATGATCTGGTTTGGGTCAGATCAGGTTTGGATGAAAAAATTCTTTATGACCCGAATGCTTTATTGGGGTTCATACCAAAATTTCAAGCCTGAGTAAAGTTGTTAAGATAGAGCTCTATTCTGTGTGTGGGACACTCACCAGAGGGCAACTTGAGGTCCAAGCTGTTGCAGTAGTCCGTGTAGCAGCAGTGGATGTTGAGCAGGCCCTCAGCACTCAGACACAAGAAGGGCTGACCAGGAGGGACCAGCTTATCTTTTTCAATGCAAATTCGCACATGCTGCTCCTGGCCTTCGATGAAGGACGTAGAGGCCATGCAGGCGCCCGTCGTCTCACAGCGGTAGCCATTCTTCTCACACTGAGCCGTGGTGCAGTTACACAACAGAGCTAGACAGAGCGCATGCGAAAGAGAGAGAGAGAGAGAGAGAGAAAGACTTGTGAAAACACTAAAAATGTTGCTGCCTGAATTCTCCACATGAAACAGAGAGTACAGACTTTAACATGCTGTTGCATCACTTCAAAACTTGCAGGTGGTTTTTTAGGTTCAAGGCTGTTTCTTTGGTTTCTTCAGGAACAAAACAATGGATACAGCAAAGATGCCTTACATGAGGCCCTATCAGCAATACACTGAAACTTGTCTCATGAAATGGAATTGGAGCTTTCTGCAGGCTACCGTGTTTTTTTTTATTAATAAAAAATGATATTTTATTAACAATATTAGCGATTACTGTTCAATACAACAGCTTCTAAATAAATTTGTGCACATTCAGAAAAGTCAACTCAGAAAATCTTTGATCTTAAGATAATATAGTTTGCATGTCAAATAAATGTGACAATAGCAACAAAAGAATTATCATGTTATTAAAAAAAGCAGACTTGGAAAAAAAGCTGGGTTTTTTTGTCACAACATTAAAGAGTCACAAAAAAAGGGTAGCATTTATTTATTTTAGGCTATATGAACATGCAGCCATGTCTGAAATCTAGTGACATGAACAGGGAACGCTAACAGATTTGACACTGTAAGACAAAGAGCAGTATAGATATATATGGGCCAGGAGGGCGGGGGGTTTGCAGACAGTAACCTGGTAAGTAAGCACATAATTTAATAATGGCTGAGCCAGACCACTTTTTAAAAAGTAGCCCAGACAGTACTGCTGTGCTTCCTGGCCAGGCTGAAACAATCTTGAGTCAAATCTAGAGTGTAGGTGTTGCAGCGCAAGGCCATGTCTATAAGAGAAGGTTGCACCCTGAACCATGTGGCCTGTGTTTCTGTAGGGAGAGGGCACAAAAATGAAATACCCAGTTGCTCCAAATATTTCCTTTCGACATGAATTATATTTTGGGTAATTTTCCCCCCGATGTCATTAAACCTAAGCGATGAAGACTATACACACCTACAAAACTGCCCTGAGAGAGACCAACATTGAGTGAGTCATTTAAAGACTGATAAGAATCGTCTAGAATTTCCATTACAAAGAGACGTTATCTCTTAGACTCTGTACTCACAGCTGTGGTGCTATTAGATCTTGATTCAGGGTTCAGAGATTTCGATTAGGAACATGTTTTAGGCACAAACCTTCCAGTTTGGTTAAATTACGCAGGTAGCATGAAACCACAGGTTTCAAAATCTGCAGACTTCAGAACTTCCGAAAAAGCGTGCTGTCGTCACAGGTGCGCAACCTTATCGACATATATTCACGTTTCCCACCATGGTTTCTGTGCATGTGCTCCATAGAGGCTTACAGGCTGAAAGATTTCTCTGAAGCAGTTTGCAAAATCTGTATTTTACTGTAGACTTTATTTCAAAAGTTTGTTGCTCCATGACGTAGGGGCTGATGACAGAGGCAGGAGAGGATATGGGACTTTAGAATAAGCCTCTTTCAGTCTGAGAGACAGGAATTAAGAACTTAGTATTCGCAGCTTCACTCTGTGGTCTGCAGACTGCAGTCTTTTATTTGTCTCATTTCCAATATACTGTAAGCGAACCCATATAACACTTAAACAGTTTCAAAAAAATAAATAAGGCCAAAGTAGACCTAGACTCAGGTCTATAGTCAAGTACATTTATCTAATGAAAATTAGACAAGGGCAATAATGATATGTTATCATTATCATGGTCACAGTGCACTTATATAAGCATATCACAGATCTCATCAGTACGTCTAGAACACTTAATAGCATGCATCATAAAAAAGGCAGACTTATTAGAGAGCCTGTAAACAACAATCAGTATACAGTAACTGTGTAAACTGCATAGTAACTAATAACAACAACTGACTGCACGTCATGTCATTACCTTTATTTAGTTTAACTGTTTGATTAAATACTTTATTTTTGCAAAACTTTAATTTAAAAAATTTCAAAACTTTAATTTACATTGTATTTTTTTTTAAATCCAGCATTCTCGTTTTGCTGGTCTACTTCATTTATTCCAACTTTGCAAACAGAGGAATACTAGGAACACACATGTATTGTGATGTCATAATATTTTCACGATATCTCCTTTAGCAGCCTCTGAAAAGGAAGCCTTCAGCCTACATAGAGTTAGACTAGGGGTAAAGTTGGGCAACATGACAATGTTTATTGTTATTGTGATGCATATCACAATACATTTACAATGAATCACATAAGTGCATTCCAAAGGGCACACTGTTACAGACGTGACCGAGAACGAGATCGAGGGGCTTCATCACTAACCAGCCTAGCTACACTAGGTAATATTAACTATGGGCAAAAAAAGGAAAACATTTTTTTCTCTGACAAATAAAATGCTGGCATATTGTCGACTGAGGAGGAAATACTTTTTGTAGAAGACAACGAGTCGTCAGCATTCAGCGTGACACCTGACTAATCTGAAGAGTCCTCTTCCATGTTTGGTGCGACACCAGTGTTGTCACCTAAAAAGGTAGCCCTGCTTCCCTACATCATTTTTAGCCAAGCCTGTTTTTGCCAGAAGTTTACCAAATACGCATTTATATATTCTTACAGATACTCACATATTAAAATTAGTCAGAATACACATTCCTACTTAAAGAGGACTGGCCAACCATATGTGTCACTACAAAGAGAGCATAAACAGATATTAGATTTGTTGCCATCCTATCTGTAAAATATTGAATGAATAATTGTACTCTGTGTTTTTGACAGTATTTCATGAAATATGGCACTTCTGGTTCTATTGTACCTGTTCCAACTAATCAAACCCCAGAAAAACCAAATATCATAAGTTTTTTAACTGTACTGAAATGTGCAGATCTCCCTCCCACACCACATTTTACAGCTCAGAACCTCTTCTGTGTGTCTCACTTGGTTCACTTGGAGGCACTCTGCTTTCTTCAAGACTGTACGAATGCGTCAGACTAACACAGGGCCTCACCCGAGTGGCCACGTTCGTGCTCTCTTACACACTCCACTCCACACAGTCCTGACAGCTTCCTGCCGCTGCTGAGTTTGAGACATGCAGGCACTTGTACTCAGTGTGCTTAATAACTGCAGCTTTTCATTTTCATATTCAAAGGACATGGAGAGACTTTGGCATTTCCCTACATGCACAATCATACTCACACACTCTTTCTCTCTCTTTCACACACACACACGCACACACACACACACACACACACACACACACACACTCCTGTAAGTATGGCCCTCAGGCTTGTCTGGTGTAACAAACAGCAAACAGTGTAAGGACTGGTGTGTAGAAAGAAAACAGTAGAAGTGGGTATTTGGGAAAGAGGGAAGACGAACCACATGCAACAGAAAATCTGAGAATTACAGTTAGCACTCTTACATACATACATACACAAAAGGGTGGGCAATACAGGAGTAATATCACATCACAATACTTCAACAGACTGAAAAGATTAAATCGAATTAAACAGGACTAGTAATGCCGTCCATGTAATCAAACATACAGTAGATCATTGTTCTTTATATCATTCTGTGACATCCATGATATGTTCAGAAAAGCATATTGTCGCTGTCAAAAACGTTTCATCTCCAAAACGGTAACTTTACTGGAGAAGGAAAAAAAAACTTCAACTTTCAATGTATGTTAACATAAAAAGATTTCATTCCAAGTAATTCTGGACCACTATGATTAGACCTTTCATTATGAAATGCTCACACAATGTAAAGGGCTGCTGGCATTTTCTAATTATGTCAAAAAATAACAAATGACAAAAAAGAATGTTTTGTTACAACAGTGACAATATTATAATTGATATAATTTAATTGAATTTCTGTGGTACTGACTGAATCACTTCAACACTACAGAGTGCAGAAAACTCCTGTCATTTAATATCAAATATCCATATCAATACCCAAGAAGTCATAGTATATGTAGCATACTTGCTCTAAAATCTGCTGATTTTACATTCTGAAAGCATGCTATTACCATCAGTGCTTCTCGAGCACATCTGTAATCCAATACAGTTAGTAAGTGTACTAAGCTAACTAGCTTAGTATCTAAGCTAACTAGCTTGTAAGTCTTTTTTAAATAAACAGTAACTAACCTTTATGTTTATTTACTATTTTTTCCTAATTAAGATTTACTATTATACATAAAGTAATAGGAAAATTTACTTAAATGTAAAGTAATTTATTGTGCAAAACAGTTCAAAACAGAACTGAACAATATAGAGGTAAACTTGTGGTCTGTACATGTAAGCATGCAGCAGTTTCTCTGGCTCAGCAAAAACGCTGCTGAACATTGTTTCACACCCAAATTTCTCAAGTCATATGTCTCATACGTGCCTCCTGTTCATACGTGCTTACATCTCTGAGCGTCAGGCTCTGCTGGAGTTTAGCAAAAATAATCTTTCACACTAACAGTAGCAGCAGTTGAGGCACAGCTAGCCTGGTTTTGTTGAAGCAAAAGGCCGCGAGACCACACTGCTGCGTGATGCAGCTGGCCAATGGAGGTGCACTGCAAGCAGGGCTAGTGGACACACAGGCCCGGCTAGTGGCCTGATATGCTAGGGATTAAACCAAGACTAAAGGCTTTCATTACCCCAAGAGACTGGTGGTTCCTTCGATATGTCTCTCTAACATTCACTCCTTGGATAATGACCTGGACAAACATTAACTTAAGACTGTAACTGACTGCACAGCACGAGGTGAGCGAACACTGAAAGACGCCTGACTCAGACCATTCAGGTAAGAGGATCTTAGCGCCTTTTACACTGTATGTTATGTTATCGGATGTATTTGTGACATATCAGTAAAACCAATAGCTTAGGAAGAATTCCAACCAGTATATCACCCACTACCATTGCCTTTCCACAAAATACTACCATTACAAAAAATGGTAGTTTGACTTGTTAAAGAGAAAATAATGTCATTTAATGTTGCAAATTGGGCTAATAAAACGTACTGGAAATGTGCTA